GGCTCCTATCCGCCATCTGCACCAAGGCGTTCTCCTTCTTATTGAACACAATCTTCACCCACTGCACATTGCCATACATGCTGAAAAGAATAAAGAGGCTTTGGGGTGTGACTCTCTCAGGGTGGAGGTTGCTGACCAGCAGAACAGAATTCCCAGAGCCTGCTAGGCCTGGAATGGCGATCTGCCCAGCTGCTGCTGCTACTGCTGCTGCCAGTGGGATGGCCAGAGGGGCCAGGGCCCCATGCACATTGGGAACAGAAAGGCCTGCAGCTTGAGGAATGGCAAAGATGGGAGAGAAACCAGTTCCTGCATACGGAGAGGCTGACATTATTTGGTCCGCTGCCATGGCCTGGTCCAGCGACAGTTGGCTGTCACCAGAGGGTAGGTCAGGATGGGTGAAGTCTCGACTCTTGTCGTTGTTGTACTTGATGTTGAGGCTGGTGGGCTTAGAAAAGTCGATGTGGAGTGTGCAGCAAGCGTTGTAGATGTTCTGCCTGTCCAGCGACAGCTTAGCGTGCTGGGCACTCACGGGTTCGGGGTACTCCAGCAGCGCCTGGAACTGGTTGTTCTTGGTGAAGGCGATGATTTTCAGAACTTTGCCAAACTTGGAGATCTGATGAAGCACGTCCAGAGTGACCAGGCAGAAGAGGTTCTCCACAATGACCCTGAGCACTGGACTCTGGCCAGCATCCACAGCAGCCGCCGGGCAGCCAGCAACAGGTTCCCTGACTGAACTGAGTCATGGACTGCAAGGCTGCCTGGGCCAGGGCCTGGTTAGGTGAGCTGTCAGTCTTAAGCTCCTTGTGGTCGGAGAACTGGATATAGATGGGCTGGCCATGAAACACAGGTGTCACTGAGGTGTAGTAGTTCAGTATGGTGTTGGCTGCCTCCTCTGTGTTCATGTCAATGAAAGCCTGGTTTTTCCCTTTCAGCATCAGGAAGTTGATGACCATCTCAAAGGGCAGGCCCAGGGAAATGACCTCGCTCTTGGTGACATCACTGGGAAGCTTCTGGATGTAGATCACTCTGGAGGGGACACCTGTACTTCTGTTGTAACCTTTGAACTTCTTTTTTTTTTCCTCACCCGAGGATATTTTTCCATTTTTTGTACAGATAGAGTGGGAGGGAGAGAGAGGAAGGGAGAGAGAGAGAGAAACATCGACGTGAAGGGACACATCGAGTGGCTGCCACCCACACGACCAACCAGGGCCGGGGACAAACTGCAACCGAAGTACGTGCCCTTAGCAGGAACCGAACCCGGGTCTCTCCGGACTGCAGGCCGACGCTCTAACCGCTGAGCCAAACTGGCCAGGGCGAACTTCTTGCTATCATTTCCATTTCCTGCAGAAGCTGAGCTGCTACTCATGATAAAGGGTCTATTAATGACGCACGCAGAGAAGAGCTCGTCAGATCTCTGCTTTGTACCAACAGCTATGTCTGGGACAATGCCGTCCACTGCACACAGAAGAGTCCCACAGAGGATGGAGTGGAGGCGCTGGAATCTCACCACTCTTATTTAACATAGTACTGGAAGTCTTAGCCACAGCAATGAGATATGAAGAAAAAATAAAAGGGATCCAAATTGGAAAAGAGGAAGTGAAACTGTCATTATTTGCAGATGACATGATATTGTATATAGAAACCCCTAAAGACTCCATCAAAAAATACTAGACTTAATAAATGAATATGGCAAAGTAGAGGGATATAAAATTAACTTCAAGAAATCAACAACATTCTTATACACCAACAATGAACTCAAAGAAAGAGAAACTAAAAAAGAACAATCCCATTTACCATCACAGCAAAAAATTGAAGATACCTAGGAAATAAACTTAACCAAAGAGGTAAAGAACCTATTTGCAGAAAACTACAAGTCATTGAAAAAAGAAACAGAGGAAGATATAAAATGTGGAAGCATATACTGTGTTCATGGATTAGAAGAATTAACATAATTAAAATGTCCATATTACCCAAAGCAATCTATAGATTCAATGCAATCCCCATCAAAATACCAACGATATACTTCACAGAACTAGAACAAGTATTCCAAAAGTATATATGGAACCAAAAAAGACCCCAAATAGCCACAGCAATCTTGAAAAAGAAGCACAAAGTAGGAGGGATCACAATACTGGATATCAAGTTATACTACAAAGCTACTGTAATCAAAACAGCCTGGTACTGGCACAAAAACAGAATAGAGAACCCAGAAATTGACCCAAGACAATATGCTCAATTAATATTTGACAAAGGTGGCAAGGGCATACAGTGGAGTCAAGACAGCCTCTTCAATAAATTGTGATGGGAAAATTGGACAACTACATGCAAAAAAATAAAGCTAGACCACCAACTTACACCATACACAAGAATAAACTCAAAATGGATAAAAGACTTAAATGTGACTCATGAATCAATACAAATCCTAGAAGAAATTATAGGCAAACAAAATTTCAGACATCATATGCAGCAGAATTTTCCCTGATACAACACCTAAGTCAAAAGAAACAAAGGGAAAAATGAACACGTGGGACTACATTAAACTAAAAAGCTTCTGCACAGTAAAAGAAACAACCATCAAAATGGAAAGGGAATCCACTATGGGAGACCATAATTGCCAATGATACATTAGATAAGGGGTTAATTTCTAAAATATATAGAATACTCATACAACTCAACAAAAGGAAGACAATGAACCCAACTAAAAAATGGACCTAAAGAGACACCTCTCTAAATAGGACATACAAATGGCCAAGAGACATATGGAAAAATGCTCAAAGTCACTAATCATCAGAGAGATACAAATTAAAACAACTTTGAGGTATCACCTCACACCTGTCAGAATGGCCGCCATCAACAAATCATCAAACAAGTGTTGGCGAGGGTGTGGAGAAAAGGGGACTCTAGTACACTGCTGGTGGGAACGCAGACTAGTGCAGCCACTATGGAAAACATTATGGTGTTACCTAAAAAAATTAAAAATTGAACTGCCATTTTACCCAGTGATCCCACTTCTAGGAATATATCCTAAGAAGCCTGAAACACCAATCAGTAAGAATATATGTACCCCTATGTTCATGGCAGCACTATTTACAATAGCCAAGATCTGGAAACAGCCCAAGTGTCCATCAGAAGATGAGTGGATAAAAAAGCTGTGGTACATATACACAATGGAGTACTATGCAGCTGTAAGAAAGAAAGATCTCTTATCCTTTGAGACAACATGGAGGGACCTGGAGAGTATTATCCTAAGCAAAACAAGCCAAGCAGAGAAAGACAAATATCACACCATCTCACTTATTTGTGGAATATAATGAACAAAACAAACTGATGAACAAAATAGACCCAGAGACATGGAAGTAGGGTAGAGACTGACAAACCTCAGAAGAGAGGGGGGGGGGGGGAGAGATAAACCACAGAACTTATATGCGTGTATGCATGACCAATGGACATAGACAATAATGCTGGGGATGGTGTGGGGTGGGGGGATTTGGGGAGGAGGGTGTCAATGGGTGGGGAGGAGAAAATCTGTAACAAAAATAAATTCATAAAAAATAAATAAAATAAAAAATATCCTTTGGGAGAAGGATGTCTAAGGGGGAAAAGGAGAAATATCTGTAACAAAAATAAGTTAATAAAAATTGCACACAAAAAATAAATAAAATAAAAATAAATGAAGAAACAAACTCATAGATACAGAGAACAAGTTGATGGTCACCCGACGGGAGGTGGGGGGGGAGATGGGTGGAAAAGGTGAAGGAAGTGAGAAGCATGAATTGGCCGTTATAAAACAGTCACAGGGATGGAAAGTACAGCACAGGGGATATAGTCAATAATATCATAATAACTGTATGGCGTCAGGTGGGTGCTAGACTTAGCAGGGTGATCACTTTGTAAGTAATATAAATGTCTAATCACTATACTGTCCACCAGAAACTAATATAACATTAAATGACAACTGTAATTGAAAAATTAAAAAAAAACAACAACACTTCCCCATATACCCAATAAGGATGAATAATTTCATGCTGGGTGCTTCTGGAGCACTTTCAATCCCTCAGTTATTCAGGTCCAGTTCAGTGGCACCCGAGAACAATGATACCCTGAGCACTGTGTAAAACAACAAAGACTTTGTCCAGGCACATCCATACCCTTTAAGGGGACTGTAAGTCTCAAGAGGGAATCACTATCATGTCTCTTATTTTATTGTATTTATGTTTGGGAAGACTGTTATGGAGGCAGAGAAAGGAGACCAATTAACTTTACCTGGAAAACTGGAACAGGATTCAAAGAGGAGGCAAATGTGGTCTGATATATATAGCGCCTATCATATCACAGGTAGTTGGGAAGTTTAAATAAGATATATAAAATAAAATTATAATCTTTAATTGCAATGCATTCAAAAGAGGTTTTTCCTTGTAGTGATTTCAACATAAGAGGAAAACATAATGCAAAGCACAATCCAGTAAAGGTAGTTGGGGTACAGGGTGATGGTGGAAAAGACACTGGTTCCCTGAAATATTTCAAAAACAAAATTTGGAACGCATAAGAGATCTGATAGATACTTGTCCTCCAAAAACTTACACCTTTTGTAGAGTTAAACAATATCTGAGTATCTTAACCATTGTTTTCCCTAGCATTTGCTCCTGGCAAACAATTTTAATAGTCCCAAAAATATTGTACCGTATTTTTGAACTAAATATTTTGCTGGTACTTCCTAATAAGACATATCCATGTCTAAAAATGCAATTCAAAACAGATTAACATTTATATTTAATAACATTTTCAAATACTATACAGCTCTTTGGACGTCAAAATCGCATTCACATAGAAGCATTTTTGCAAAAATCTCTCCGTGGTTCTTTTAACGCTCATCTCCTGCCGACCTGCGCGGCCAGTGGAACCAGCCCTGAGGCGGGGCGACGGGAGACAGAAAACCCGCCCTCCAGTTTCCCCTCATGCTAATGTCACCAGCGCCCCAGTTCCCAAAGGGGTTCTCTCACCTGACCGAGCTCTTCATTAAGGTTTGATGTCCGGGCCATGGCAGGAGTGTCATTTCCAATATAATACATATCTGTGTCCTGAGAGAGAGGAGAGGGGGCACTTCAGAAGATATATATCATTAATCCTTCATTTAGATTAAACACAGATACTATAAGTGCTCATTTTTAACTTGGGGGTGAAAATACAGTGGCAATTAATGTAGGGAAACACTGTGATATCAGGAGAAAACATGGTATTTGTATACAGAAGGTCTGGTTTCAAGAGGAGCATTTCATAACCTCGACTAATTCATATTCCTGAGTTTAGCTAATAACTCATTCATAAGATTATTATGAAGATCAAATAAAAATCTACATGACACCCTCTATCCTTCTCAAATATCTGGTGACAGGAGACTTGACTTAGGTGAACACAGTGCAATATACAGATGATGCATTATAGAACCGTGCACTTGAAACCTATATAATTTATCAACCAATGTCACTCCAATAAATTCAATAAAATTTAAAAAATAATAAACAAAAAAATTTTTAAATGTCCATGAAAGCACCTGGTAAGCTGCTAACGTGCTTAATGACAATGGCAGTTCCTTAAAAATTTCACTGCCATTCTTAACGATGGAATCCAAGTTCACTGTCACCGTCAATTTTGACACACCTCAGAGGCCTTTTCTCAGCCTTGATGAGACTTACAAAGCATGAACAGCAGCTGCAGGCTCTTTGTCCCCGCTCACCAGAAGACAAGCACCTGTTAAGCACTCTGCTCCATTTTCTCACTTAATCCTCACAAGAACCCTTGAGTAGGAACGGCTGCCCCCCTCTCATCTCATAGACCAGGGAGCTGAGATGTTAGGTAACTAGCTGCTGCTATCACTGGCTCAGGAACACCTCTGCCAGAGATCCCTGGCCAAATCACAATCATAAATTAACTCTATTATTCTTTTTCTGGGAGCTCAAATAAATGGCTAAGATTCTGAGAGAGTGTTAGAAAATTGTGGTCGACATTTCTGCAGCCGCTCAACTTTTCAACTCTGCTGTGATACTCACCCAGTTTATAAAAAGGGCTTGAGTGTATTTCACAACCTCCAGCGTCACCAGCAGACTGATGGGAATGAGGTTGTTGTATAAGATGATGAACGTCAACAGGTTATATCCAAAATTATCCGAGCTTGTCTCTGTGGAAGAAAACCAAAACATCTGTATAGCTTTAGTTAGTCTCCATTAAGTTTCCTTTTATTTTATCCTTTTGAAATTTTTCTAAAAGATGTTCGCCAAAAAATGTGTTGGCTTATTGTACACATTTAGGGATTCAAGTTAAACTAGTTATTGAGCACCTGTTACATGGCACCAACTGTGACTACAAAGACTACTACTACACAATCCCTTCCAATAAGGAGCTGGCGTCGCACAGGAGGCTATGGGGCAGGACAGTAGGCAGAAGCAAGCATGCCCCTCAGCGTGATCAGGCATCAGGTTACACCTGTTAAAGAGATGTCCGTAGGCAGTGCCAAAACGAGGACAGGACATTTTTTTTTAAATGGAAAAGCATGGTCAACTGAAGACCACCCAGAAGAATAGAGACTTCAGTTAAGTACTGGAGGACAGAGAGAAGAAAGCTAACCAAAAAGGATATATATATATATATAGAGAGAGAGAGAGACAGGCATCTACAACTCATTAAGGTATGAGTATCTTTGGGACACTCCAAAGAATTGGTAAAATGGGGGGGGGGGTGAATAGGGAAAACAGGTGAAGAGAGGGAGGCAGGCAAGAAGCCATGGGGCCGTTTATTGAAGGTAAGAGAAGGAATGTCTTGAGGAAACACGATCCCTGAGGGATGAAGCCCAAAGCAGCGTCCGGATCACCTTGGACAGAAGGATGGACCAGGAGAGGAAAAAGAGGTACGAGTTCTGTGCACATCAAAAGGGGAAAGTTCTTTGAACTGAGTCAAAACTCCAACAGTGACAGTGCAAATGTGAAGTCTGGTGGCATTGACCAGAGCTACTCAGACTTTACGATAAGATTAACAAGGCAGAAAGCACATGGCTGGGACAAAGAGGCCATTCCTCCTCTGTAGATCACGCAGCTAGTACTGGAGTTTGACGTTATCTGAGCAATTTAAACACCAGTTTCCACAAAGCCTGTATACCAAGATGGTGTCAATGTTGTTTATTTACTTAGATCATATTATATAAATTAACTATGTATACAGGCGAAGTATCAATTTTCACATTTTTGAAGCTAGACACATAACACTAATCCAAATTTTAAGAGATTTGAACCAAGCTGCAACTGAAGTCCTAGTCACATTTCCCACATTTGTAAAGCGGCAATAAGAGTTTACCCAGACTGTTCAAAGTACGTGACTTTTCTACATGAGATAATAAAAGGAAAGAAAGGTTTTGATTAGTTTAACTTAAATATATTAAATGATGGGAATAACAATAATCCCAAAGCACTATCCCAAAATTTTAAAATTCAAATTTATTATTCAAAATAAATTTGTCATTAAATTTTATTTATTTTCTGAAACTGCTGTGTAACGATATTGATGACTATTCCAAAAAAGAAGCAATAAAACTGGACAAAATTGTCAAAAACAAGCATTTAAAGTGATTGGAGCCCTAGCTCAGTGGTTAGAGCATTGGCCCATGCACCGAAGTGTTGTGGACTCGATTCCCAGTCAAGGGCATGTACCTGGGTTACAGGTTCAATCCCTGGCCCTGGCCAGGGCACGTGCAGGAAGTAATCAATTGATCTGTCTCTCTCATATCAATGTTTCTCTCTCTCGCTCTCTCTCGCTCTCTCTCTCTCCCCCTCTCTTTCTCTCTTTTTCTTCCTTCCTTCTACTCTAAATATCAATGAAAAAAATATCCTCAGGTGAGGATTAAAATAAATAAATAAAAATAAAGGATTTAGAAACTGATAATAGAGTGTATAAAAATTCAAAAGGATGTATTCAAGAAAATCTACACTTCCCTGTCCGGTTTGGCTCAGCAGTTAAGGGCGTTGGCCTGCAGTCTGGAGAGACCCGGGTTTGGTTTCCACTAAGGGCACGTACCTCGTTTGCAGTTTGTCCCCGGCCCTGGTTGGGTCGTGCGGGTGGCAGCCACTCGATGTGTCCCTTTCACATCGATGTTTCTCTCTCTCCCTCCCTCTCTCTTCCTTCCACTCTATCTGAACAAAAAATGGAAAAATGTCCTCAGGTGAGGATGAAAAAAAAAGAAAATCTACTCTATCTTGCTAAGTAGAAGCCTTTGACATTTAATCCAAAGGCAGTTTCCCTTTCTTTCTCCAACATCCATGTTGTTTAAAATATGCTCTGGGTGGGAGGTTGGGGCAGGTCACAAGGACTAGTAGCTCTTATTTTCCCACATCCTAGCTCCATGTGGCATAAATCTATCCCAGTGTTGTACAGGCTGCTACCACGGAGTGGGGCAGGTGGTCAGAACAGGAACAGCTTGAGGAAGCTGATGTTATTTGGAGTAGAGCATGAAAAAAGCCACACCCAGGGCACTATTAAAAAGAATAGGGTTTCCAGCCCTGGCCTGTTTGGCTCAGAGGTGAGAGCGTCAGCCTGCAGTCCAGAGAGACCCGGGTTCGGTTGCTGCTAAGGGCACGTATACCTCAGTTGCAGTTTGTTCCCGGCCCTGGTTGGTCATGCAGGTGGCAGCCACTCGATGTGTCCCTTTCACATCGATGTTTCTCTCTCTCTCTCTCTTCCTCTCTCTCCCTCCCACTCTATCTGAACAAAAAATGGGAAAAAATGTCATCGGTGAGTATTAAAAAAAAAAAAAAGAAGAATAGAGTTTCCGGTGGCCAATAATCAGGGAAGACAAATATCTCACAATATTAGTAGAGACAAACAAAACAGAGATTAGCCAGAAATTAAACAAGGAGATCCATGGAAAATATGGCCAAAGAAACCTTGCTAAGATCACACTCAACCCTGGTGGTCCATGCGCAAGGCTGTACATGCTCAGGAGAAACCAGAGAGGGTACTTGTGAACTACTAGTCTCTGACTGAATGTGTGTCAGACTTGAAATCCCCCCAACATTGAAAGCATTCCCCAAGTCACACACAGATCAAATAACAAAGAGGTTTACACAACCTCTGACCAATCACTGGCTGACCACTAAGCTATGTGAACCTCTAGTAATCCAGGCTTAGAAATAAAACCAAGAAGAGGACTAACTATTAATGAAGATATGGTTTCTTTCTGAGGTGATAAAAATGTTGTAAATTCAGGTAGGGGTGAGGGTTGCACAATTCTGTGAATGTACAGTTGACCCTTGAATAACATGAGTTTGAACAGTGTAGGTCTATTTATAAGCAGATGTTTTTCAACAAATAGCTATACTGTTTTCAATCCACATTTGGGAGTCTTCAAATGCAGAGGGTCAGCTGTATGCATTGATCCATGCCATTTTATATACAGGAGTTAAACATCCATGGATTTTGGTGTCTGTGGGGGAGGGTCCTGGAACCAACCCCTTTCAACAAGAGGGACAACTAGGAGGGTGTCAATGGGGGGAAAAGAGGAAACATCTGTAGCAAAAATGAATTAATAAAAAATAAATAAATAAGAGGGACAACTAAGTTTTGGGGGGGAGTCAAAAGTTATACATAGGTTTGTTTTTACTGTGAAAGAGTCAGCACCCCTAATTCCTACATTGTTCAAGGGTCAGGTGTACTAAAAAATAACTATATACTTTCAACTATATGTTTTAAAAGAATTAAAGGTAAAATAATGGAAATAAAACTGAGCAGTAACATCATAGGCTATACCCTGCAGCAAAAAGCAGATTTCACAGAATGAGTCCAATCAAGTCACTAAAAAAATAAACAAGAAAAAAACAAAAACAAAAACAAAAACAGCAACAAGCCCCAAGAGGAAGAGGAAAACAAAATAAGAGTTACTGCAATACATTATCTACAGTAACCAGTTTTGAATAACAACAATTATGAAACATATAAAACACATACAGAAACACACACATACACAACAAACAATAGAAACTGCCTTTGAGGAGAGTAGCCCAAATGATAGGCCAAAGACTTCAAAGCAGTTATTATAAATATATTAAAAGAACTAAAGAAAACTGGTTAAAGAATTCAAAGTAAGTCTGATGACAATGATTGATTAATTAGAGAATGTAGATAAAGTGATGGAAGATTAAAAAAAACAAATGGAAAGTCTGGAATTCAAAAGTACAATAACTGAAATGAAAAAAATCACTAGTGGAGCTCAACAGCAGATCTGAGCTGACAGATAAGAGAATAGAAAAACTTGAATATAGATCAACAGAGAGTATCCAATCTAAAGGACAAAAGGAAAAAGGAATAAAGTAAAATTAACAGAACCTCACAGACCTATTAATATGCAATAGTGAACCAACATATAACAAACAAAAGTACTAGAAGAAGAGAAGAGTAAAAATAAGGCAGAAACAACATTTAAATAAATAATAGCCGAAAATGTCTCAAATTAGATGAAAAATATTAAAATACACATCCAAAAATCTCAACAACCTCCAAAGAGAATAAACTCAAAATTACTAAAAAACAAAGACAATCTTGAAAGCAACAATAGAAAAATGACTCACATACAAGCAAAAAACTCAATGAGATTAACAGCTGACTTCCTCTTAGTACAATGAAGGCCAGAAGGCAGCGGATGGCATATTCAAAGTACTGAAAGGAAAAGAATGTCAACCAAGAACTCTACGAGAATTTTGTATCAGCAAAACTGTCCTTCAAAAACAAAGAAGAAATTAAGACATTCCAAGATAAAAACTGAGAAAATGTGTTGCTACCTAAACTGCCTTATAATAAATACTACAGAAAATTCTCCAAGACGAAAGGAAGTAACATGAACGGTAATTAAACTCACATAAAGAAACAAAGGGCAGTAGTAAAAGTAATTATATAAATGTTTACAAAAGGTAATATAATTACATATTTTTACCCTTTCTTTTGGATTTAAAAACACAATGGCAAAAAAAATCATAAAATGACATTGTTGGACTTGCATACAGATGTAATATATTTGAGAGCACAAAGGGGTGAGGAGAGAATATACCTACATGAGGCAAAGAAATGACATAAGCTGGTAACTCAGGTCCACAGGAAGTAAGTAGGTTAATATTAAACAACTGTACGCTTATTTCTTTTTGCTTTTTTTTTTTTTTCCTTTCTTTTTTTTGTTCAGGTAGAGTGGGAGGGAGAGAGAGGAACAGAGAGAGAGAGAGAAACATCGATGTGAAAGGGACACATCGAGTGGCTGCCACCCGCACGACTGACCAGAGCCAGGGACAAACTGCAACCGAGGTACATGCCCTTAGCGGGAACCGAACCCAGGTCTCTCAGGACCGCAGGCCGACGCTCTAACCGCTGAGCCAAACCGGCCAGGGCTCTTTTTGCTTTTTTAAAAAGCATATACAAATCAATAATCATAACACTATTATTGGGTCAACAGATAAATGCAATATATGACAAAAACAGCATAAAGCAGGGGAGGAGATGGATCTATATTAAAATAATACTAATTTAATTCTGGTACAGAATTAATCTGAAGTAGGTGCTAATAAATTAAGACATACACTGTAATACCTAGAGTAACCACTAAGAAAATAACTCAAAAAATATAGTTAAAAATGATCATCCGAATATAAAACAATCCCCAAATGTGTCCATCTTCACTTTATTACATACATCCTAATCTCTCAATTCTCCTTTAAAGATTGGCATTATACAGAGCAGCCAAAGGGCAGAGAAGAATGGCATGGCCACTGCACATAAACTGTGCTTAGAAGGATTTTCCAAAAATGTTTTGTCCTCCTTCAACAAACCACCCACCCCGACACTCACCCAGCTTCTTGATGTACCAGTTCTTTCCACCTTGAGAGCCATTCCAGTACAGAGCCCCCGCCGAGCTCACCAAGGCCATGACCAAGAGGATGCCAAACAATACCAGGATCTGCACATTGGTCACTTTCTCAACATTTGATCTCTTGAGAGGAGCTTTGGTGGAATTCTGTACAAAAGCATTTAACATCAGTAAGGATCACAGAAGAGACTCAAGGGCAAGAAGTGGGGAGGAAAGGAGGCAAGTAACACAAATTCAACAAGTAAAAAGTAAAATACTATATTTTTGCCAAAGAAACAATGAAATTAAGAAGTGTACCATACTCCTGAATCAGCAGCTAGTGTTAAATAATGACAGAAGGCACTTTCTACCACTTTAAAGAACACATTTCAACTGTATATAATTCAAATGATTACATTTTAGCATTAAATTAGCTACCTGCATCACCTTTGAACACAATAGGTTCTAAATCATGTAAGTCCGATTTAAAAGAAATCAGAATGTTGCACATTCAAGAGAAACTTAAAGATTTAATATTGTAAAAATCTAGAGAGAATCTTCAAAGTAATAACATAGCTCCACAGTTATTACACAAAGGTAGATTTTGAATGTACACATTTAATTGAGAAAAAGGACATATAAACACATACACATCAATAATGCAAAAATAGAACATCAGTAGGCATAAAAATAAATGGATGGACACACAATTCATTTGGAAAACTGAACAAGAAACAAGCAGGAAAAGCCAGGGAAACTCTAGGAGCCAGAATAAACCATAAACAAATACAAACAGGAAGGTAAGCAAAAGCAGAAAGACGACCCAACATCTGCAAACGCGCATGACTGGATTTCCCACTGCTGGCGGGGAAACCAGTCCAGCTAGAACAGAGGCCAGTGCTGGGAAGTGAGTTTAGAAATATCCACTAAAGCCAGATTCAAGGACCACTGCACATCAGGTGGAAAATCTGGGACTATATCCTCTCAGCAGTGGAAACGTCCACAGAACTGCTTGCACTAGACAGTTATGCACCTGAAGTCATTTTATTAAATTTCTCTGAAGGCAATTGTGGTGGGCAGAATAATGACCACCCCCAATAATATCTATATCCTAATAACTGGACACTGTGAATATGTTACTAATATGAGAGTAACAAGTTACTAATCTGAGACTAATGCAGTAATACAACAGACGGTAATACCCACTCCTGGGGGCGAGCAGAGCCTACGTAAGTCAGAAAGCCGCACGTGGACGGGGAAGACGGGCACAGGAGCTGTGGTCTGCAGGTTCCTTCCATGAGTCACGAGCCTGACTCTTCGCGGGCAACACTGATTTGCAAAGAGCAGGTGATTTGAAAGCTTATTAGGCAATAACAGGCTGTAAAAATGGGGCGCCTAGCTCTCTCCACTACTCTCAATTTATCTGAACATTAACAGAGCTAGGATGAAAATGTCTCTGAAAAGAAGAATACAAATCAAGTCACAATGTCATAATAAAATCAAGATGAAAATAGAAAGCAAGTCCTCGGTTCCATGGAAAAACTCAAACCACAACATCTCTCAAATGGCCTAAATTCTACCACCAAGCCCAGAAATGCTACTTTTATAGTCGTGGGTTTCTGCGGGGGTGGGGGGTTGGGAAAGGGTCGTTCTGGTGATTTTGAAAAGCTAAGTCCATTAAGTATCTTAACACTTTAGTTCTCTAAATTATTTGCCCTTCCCAGACTTTTTTAAATGCCTCTAAGAGCTAAATAAAAATCCATTAGTAAAAGCTGACTTATCATCAATCAAATACCACCTCAGGTCTGATGAGGAGGACACATCACCTCTGGCCTCAGGTCATGAGCCAAGAGACCAGTTCCAGGACTGCCTATCCCAATCTTTTCTACAGATAATCTTAGCGTTTCTAATAAACAGTCAGTGGAGGTATAGGCAGAAAAAAATGTCATCTCTATGACTCCATTTACTCATTCTGATTTTTTTCTGGTGGTTAAATCCTGGCCAGTTAACAGGGTTGAGAAAAGTTATCTTTCATGTAACACAAGAGCCCCAAACAGGTTTCAACACCAGCACTTAGTAGAAAGCCAAGCTGTGCCTACCCGTTCCCATCTGCTGAGCACATCGACTTACAAGGCTGAGCTTATAATGTGAAAGTCTGCCTAGTATTATAAGTTCTGTAAAATTCTTAAAAAGCACTGCTACTTCTGAGTAATAGGGTTCTTAATAGAAACAGGCCAAAATGCTGGGTTCTGTAAAAGCTTACAGTACACACTTCACTCCCTCCTAAGAACGCAGTCAGTGGGGTGTGAGTTGGAACGTGGACTTGGAGCCAGACTGCTGAGGTCTGAGTCCCAGCTCTCTCTCTTCGTGGGTGTGTGACTTTGGTAACATACTCAGACCCTCTGGGCCTCAGCGTCCTCATCTTAAAAATGGAAATAATAGTATCTCCCTCACAGAGTCATTATGAGAAATCAATTAGTCAATCCATGCAGATTGCCTAGAACAGTACATGGGGCACTAAGCAGTCGCTGTAATTGCTGTGATAACATCTCTCTTTCCCATTAAACCAGCCAATGGAAATAGTAGACATTGAACTAGTTCTCCACGAAACTACACTAAGCATGAAGCGGGGAGCTCTGAAGAACAGAAGGCATCGAGGTGAGAGTCTAAACAAGAACAGAGCAGAAGAGCCCAGAAGCGCCCGTGTTTCCTCGCTGTGGTCAGTGGCACAAGTACAGGCAGAAACGTCATTTCCCACACAGCATGGCTTCGGCTGTGTGTGCCGCGTGACATCCCCCGTGACCGCGCCTCGTCTGTACTTGTTGTTTCAGCCCTCAGGGCACAGCGACTCCAGCCAGACGCTTTGGGGGCTTTCCGTCGTTCGGTGCCGAGTCAACATGTGCTGGGCCTCGCAACGGTTTCACCGCATCACACTCAGGGGTGCAGACTTCTACGGCAACTCAGTGCACACCTTGCTCACTGGAGGAGGAGGGGGTCATCTCGAGTATAACTGTTATCTCTCACACCTTACCTACAAAGCTGGGGTACCAATATACGATCTAAAAAATAGTATTACATCCTGAGAAAACAACTCATGTACCAGCAATCTTGAAGAGAGGCCAAATCTGTCATGTGCACAATCTAAAAACTAGACCGGGGGCCCTGCCCAAATCTGAACTGACTCCTGTGATCCTGTCACGCCATAGCGAACGGAAGTGGTCTGTGGTAGTGGAGCTCCAATAGTGTCAGACAGGAGGCTGGCCCTGGACAGGGGCAGTCAGAAAACATGTAGTAGGGAGTAGAGCACTACTTACCAAGATAATCTTCACATACCAGCTGCTCAGAACCACCAAACTTACAACTTTCTAACATGTGCTTGTGAGTTGGTGAGGACCCAGCAGAAGAAATGGATCAGGCACAGGTCAGATATACTGAATAATTTTCATCCAAGAACTACCTCTCAGCATTCACCAACTATTCACTTTTTGGTTACACGGATCCCCCCACTGCCACACACACCCCCTCAGTAACCACTCCACCACACCTGGGCCTACCATTCCAGGACCAGTACTTCTCCAGGTCCTCACCCTCCTTCAGAAGCTACTCTCCTGCCCCTTGCCTGACCCAGAGGAGGACACGCCTTCCCTGAAGGCCCCTCAAGCAGGGGGTGCTCCAGGAAAGACTCAGAATCTGAAGATAATATTACTGAGTGTATAGGTGTGACCCGGTAATACTTCTGACACTTCATCCCTCTAAAGCCATGTGAAAAACCGACTCGTACAATTCATGCCATTTGGCAACACCGCCTTCTATTCCTTCCCTCAACACGTCTTCCCACCTGTCAGTCAGCCCCTTCACTCCCTGAACACCCGAGCAGCCGGCTCATGGCATCCATCTCTACCCCAGCCTTGCCACGATCAGATCTTCAAAGTCATAGCTCCGACCCACCCAGGGCCGCCATCTCTGCCCTTCACTCCTCAACACCCCATGGCCCCCAGCAGCTCCACCTTCAGCGTCCTACCCCCATGGTTCACTTCCAGGTCTCCCCACTCTGTAAACCCTCCACCCTAGAAACTTGAACACAAGCACCCTACACACTGGTCAGCTGTCACTCGACAACCCCAACAATCTTCTTTAACTTCAGTGAGTTCTCAACCCTTCTCATCCTCCCCAGCTCCCTCCTCTGTCTCGACCACAATGCCCAGCTGGTGTGCACACTGGGGCCTGTCACCTCAGCTGTCCTACGAGTATGTAACTCTCTCCCACATCACTCGACCTCGAAGAGCAGACCAACACAACACCTCCCTTCTCCAACTCTACATCTAAAACGCTCTCCTTAGTATCATTCTTAGTAGCTAGCCAACTGACACCCCCAAACCTGGTCGGCTGACCCTTCCATAGGCACTCACAGTGCCTTGTGATGACATGTATTACAAGGAGCCCTCTGCCATCAGTTCCCTGTGGCTCCCAGTGTGCGTGGTCCCGGAAGGCGAGGCTGGGGCTTTCACTGCCGTCTCCAGGCAGCCTGGCAGAAGACGTGGTGCTCAGTGCACTAAATGTCCTTTACTTAAGAAATATAGCCAAATACATGCATTAGAAGGCGGGTATACAAAAGGGCAGACAAGCTGGAAAGCCAGTTCTCGTGAATAGCGACCATTAGTAAAATAAGATGCCAAGTGATACCAAACAAATATAAGAAATGACATATAGGGACACTGGTTTGTGCAGAATTTCAATAGTCTAGCAAAATAATGTCAGGATATAAATGTGATCTGCAAACTGACAAAAAATAATTCAAAAATATTAACAGAGAGAAAGAGCAAAATCATTTTCATTAATTTTTCGATGTATGAAAAATACACACTAGTTCAAAAATAAATAATCTTAAATAGTCTAGAATTCTTAATTCTTTGAACTAACTTAAATAGTTAAATAAGACATTCACTGTCAAGTCCTAAGGAACGGAGGTAGGAGCAGAAGTAGTGAGAGAAATAAGGAAAGAACAAGTCCCCACTTATGTCCAGAAGATGAAATACGTTAGAACTGATTCTCCCCCTAAATCTGGAAAACGAGATCATTGATAGTTCAAGCAGGATGTAACAAATAGCTGATATAATAACAGGAATCTATGAGAAATTGCCTAAAGAACCCAAATAAAGGCACTTTATTTCCAAATGTGGGTTCACAGACGAAGTCGAGCTTCCTGGATGCACCGTCTGCATTTCTACTCTCGACGCCACAAAACCAGAACAATTTTTTTGTTTAAAGACTAAGATCAGCATTGTTTTCAGCACAGAAATGTTTTACCTGCATGAGTTTGGTGTCGTGTCCAGTGTAAACAACTATGCCAAAGACCCACTGAGTGTTTCTAAGCTGTGTACCTCTTAACAAGATCTGGTCGGGCCCAAGGGAAACAGGGCTAAAAACAAGAAACAACATTTATATTCAGTGAGAGTCTGACAAATGGGCTTTCCCCTTAAACATAAACCCGCAATAAATCAAATGTTTCCTTTACTCAAATTTGAACTATTTCACTGAGAAACAGAAGAAACAAAGGTTACCACTGGCTTAACTACCAAAAAAAAAAGGGAGGAGACCCACAAGAAAGGTCTCTTTTATGCATTCATCACTACAAAAAAGAAGTTTGTTTTTTTTTCCTATAAAATGTTAAAGGGAATTGTCTCTTCTGTTATGAAACTGAACACCAAAAAAAAAAAAAAAAAAAAGAAATTCCTAAAATAACCAGAAGTTTATTCATTTGGGAAACCCAGTTTATTTTATAGCCTCTTATAGGGAAAAAAAAAACAATAAAGCTATAATATCAAATTTGTCAAGAATGACTTAATGATCAGATAAAAGTCTGCATGGTCATTTAGAAATTCAAAGTGGGAGCCTAGGGACCAGCTCTGCACCATAAAGAAAACCAAGAAAGCAGGCACATGCAGTTGCCATGGTTATTCTGGGTTGATTCCCATGATCAGGTCCTTCTCCATGGGTTTGCTCAAAATATATAGGTGGGAAGCACTGGCAAGAAGCATGCAGCCCTGGACAGTATGGCTCAGAAGTTAGAGCACTAGCCCGTGGACCAAAGTGTCTCAGGTTTAATTCCTGGTCAAGGGCACATGCTTGGGTTGCAAGTTCGATCAATCCCCGCCCCAGCTGAGGTCGTGCAGGAAGCAACCAATCGATCTGTCTCTCCCACATCGATGTCTTTCTCTCTCTCTTTTTCTCTCTCTCTCTCTCTCTCCCCCCATCTCTCCCTTCCACTCTCTCTAAAAATCAATGAAAAAATATCCTCAGGTGAGAAAAAAAAAAAAAGCATGCAGATTAAAGATAGGCAGAAGGTAGAAGCAGCATAACAACAAAATGACTCTCCAACAATAAAACAATGTCAAGAGGACAAAGACAACAGAATACAGACCACAGGGCCGTGGATATTTTAAAGGAAGACTAATTGTTATTCCTTTCATTTAACTTTCAAAAATCAAATGCTACTTAAAAGAATGCTAGCAAAAAAAAAACAACAAACCAGCTTCTCTAATAAATATATTAGCTTGTATGCACCTCAGACACCTCTCTTCTCTTCTCTGGACAATTTTATGCAGCCAAAACCATTTCTCCTCCTCAGAAGGTAATACACACAGAAAGAACAGACCAGGGCTGTGACCCTCATTTCAGGGCCTCTGGCTGCTTTTTCTTAACAAAAATCAGGTCTTTTCTTAAATTTAAGGGATGGTTTAAATTGATTGAAAAAGTGTTTCAAAAAAAGCTCAGCCTCTCATATCCATGCTAAACATGAAGAAATCTCACTGTTTTGAAATATTATGAAACCAGAAAAACAAATATTTTCCAAAGGTCCAGTAATTCTTAGTCCCATTTACAAAAACAAAACAAAACAAAACAAAACCCCACGGAAAGGGAAAGCGATACCTTTTCCCATCTAAGTTCAAGTTCCCAGTGAAGTCATAGAGGTGGCGGTTGGGCCCTTCACATTCCACAGTTCCAGACAACTTCATCAATACTTCCCTTGTCTGCATATCGGCGGTGTGATTCAAACTCTAAAATGTTACATCAAAAGAGGAATTGATTACAATTTTCCAGCTTTAGAGACAATATCCCATATCCCCTCTGTTAATCTAAAGGAAATGATGACTCCTCTAAAATGGATTAATTTGGGGAGGCTAAGAAATCAAACTATTAGCCCACAAGACTGATGTCACAGGCAGCTTTTTTTTTTAACAGAGAGCAACCTATTGCAAAGATTTCAAAATAATTTAATGGAGCAGAAAGTTAAGATTCTACCACTGTACTGGAAACATTCATGTTTAGTAGGAATTCACATACTCAAACATCTCCCAGAAAAGCATATTTATTAGCTGTACTCTCACACTGGTCTTAAACATAGAATAAAGTACCCCTTTAATACAGTATGATATCTAGACCAAGTAACTCTTCCTTAACAGAAAAAAAAAAGTCTAAATCAAATATTTGAGGTAGAAAAGAAGATATGTGGACAGAATTATCAAATTCAACTTTACGTAGCATAAAATTTAAGTGTCAAATCCTTCAAATGTTTATTATAGTAAAGACTATTCTTCATTCTAGAATTCAAAAATATGGTGAGAGTAGCTTTATGTAAAGGGTACAATTTTGTATCTAATATACCACTCTCAGGAACTAGAATCTGTTAAAACAACAAAAAGGAAGGTACTCATTGTTCATCTAACTTCACACGTTATCTTTCCCTATGTGGGCTGCACTTTCCACGCACAGCTCAACCCAGCAGAGGACCCCCCCCAGGCAGAGCACCCACCCCCCGCAGAGGCCCCCCCCCCCCGGCAGAGGCTCTCCCACCCTCCCCCAGCAGAGTCGCCCCCCCTGCACTAACAGGCAGAGAGCACAGTGAGATCTACATGAACACATGATACCCTCCCTTCCTCACCCACACTTGGATGAAGCCACCTTTCCAGCTCTGCCATCACGCCTGCAGAGTTCCCTTCATAATAAATGGCATGTTCTCCCCAGAGCTTCCATTAGGGTTAAGGCATAACCTTTTGTGGCAGAACATTTTTTTTTCCTCTAGCAAAATCACTGACTGGTACACGTGGGGACCAGATTTGCCATTTGGGCCTTCATAATAACCCAAGTCATAAAGGGTAACTTTACCTGGCGTATTTTAAGGTTCGTCTCCCCATCTAGGTTAGCTGTTTCGACATAACACATTGCCTGAGGTTCACTAAGGAGAGAAAAGAAGCCAAAGTTCAGTAAGGTCCCCTCCACAAACCCACAGTTCATAAAGAGTCTACTATGGAAACTCTGTCCGCTGAACAGCCCTTCAAAACAATGTGACAGTTGACCCTTGAATATCCCAAGGAGTTAAGGGTGCCAACACCCACCCTTGTTGTACAGTCTAAAATTCAAGCTTAACTTTTGACTCCCCAAAAACTTAACTACTCCTCGCTGTCCCTTGGTATCCGCAGGTGATTGGTTGCAACCATGGATGTTCAAGTCCCCTGTATAAAATGGCTTAGATCAATGCATACAGTTGGTCCTCTGCATTCCCAGACTCCCAGCCTTAGATGGAAAGCAGAACAGGTATTTAATGAAAAAAATCTGCATATAAATGGACCCACACACTTCAAACCTGTGTTGTTCAAGGGTCAGCTGTACAAACAACCACTTTAGTAGTAGGAATTGAGTAGAAAGACCAACACTCATCTTTGGGGCTCAACACCGATGCACATGATCTGCCCTATGGGCCCCACAGTGGCTGCTTGACCTCAAGTAACAGAAACAGCCGAGGGTCAACGAGAAGGGGGCCAGGCAGGTTAGGGCAAACATGATGCTCCAGCTAAGACCCAACCAATGGATAAAATCTCTGACCTGGCTGCCCTCCTGACCAAAAGAGCCCCCCGGGGACAGCCAGTACAAACCCATCTCTTGAAGAAAATTATAGCGGGGGGGTGGGGGTGGGGGTGGGGGTGGGGGTGTCAGGAATCAAGGCATGGGCTTGGCAAGCCTTACTGCCCTGCACCTTTTACTCTGTCCACAGGCAACTTTTAATCAAAGCATCAAATGTCAAGGACAGAAAGCTCAAAGAATAAAATTAAACAGAGCAGATACTACAACTTGCAGTCTTTGGGTTTAGGTAGCATGGTTAGGGCTAAGAGAATCGACTCTGCCACTCACCAGCGAGGTTTAAATCTCCTGGCACTACTTTTATCAGCCATGTGGCTTCAGCAAGTTGTCCATCTCTCTGTTTCTCTGCTTTCTCTGCATAAAGTAAGGCTATCGAGGGTTGTTGGGAAGATTAAATGGAACCATGTACTCAGTGGGCTCCTTCGCACAAAGTACAGACGCCAACACTAATGACCTCCTGAAATCACGATGTCAGCTCAGAGAAATGATCTCATATTCCAACCGGACTTTCTGAGGGCCACAAGCAAAACGCTGGCCCCAAACTATCAAGGATCCACATTTTCCTGAGAGTGTCTTTGTAACTAATCAGTAGGCTCAGACATGAATGCTGCCCACGGACATGTTGTTTGGACCCTTCGTGGCAGAGTGTCTAGTTTTAAACCTTTGATCTCAACAGAAAAATTCATGTTAAGGCTTCAAATCTCACATGTGATCAGATCCAATAAAAGAAACACTGTCTGCAACCAAAGAAAATGCAAAGTGTGTGAGCGTCTATGATTGCCAACAGGAATACAGCAAGTTTTAATCCTAACATCATACCATTTAATCTTGAACTCAAGAGCAAAAGTGTATTCTTCTTCTAATGCTGGCATTCCTTCTTAGGTACATAATCTTATGTATCAAGACAAAGAAAAGTCTAGGACTATGTTGTCCCTTATTTATGCCACTTAGTAATGGTGTCTTTCTAGTACGGAACTGCCTAGAAAAAGTGGTAATGATACCTGGGCAGAAAGGGAACAATGTGTGGATAAATGAGGAGGAAACGGCATCTTCAGGGCATGTCTATGCTGAGAAAAAATGCCCTATGGGCCCCACAGTGGCTGCTTGCTGGGGACAGCCAGCACAAAACCATCTCTTGAAGAAAATTATAGCGGGGCGTGGGGGGTGTCAGGAATCAAGGCATGGGCTTGTCTATGCATGTATGCCAGGTCAGCAACTTGCATTCTCTGACCAGCTGGTAAAGGGAGGCCCTGGGTTCTACAGGACAGACTGTGGGCAGGACCCATCAGGAGACAGGATGTACAGCCTCAGACAGGCTGCCACCTGGAGGTGACTGGAGGAATCACTCCACTGCTCTTGAATGTCTTCCTACAATGACGAATAGCCCAGAATAGCCACGAGAGTAAAATGAGTCGATAAATGTATAAGAGTTCACAAAAAGGACAAAGAAATGAATAGAAGAAAGTTTCGGATTAAGGCAGGAAAGAGCAAATGACAGGTGATGGAAGAACAGGCCCGAGAAAGAAGGCTGGTGACTCCGGGTGGGAGAGGGCGGCTCGAGAGGTCAGCCGTCACCATTCAATATGTTACGATTCTTAACGTTTACTTGAAAACCGTGCCCACTAGAGCACACCTGACCTGGAGGAGAGCAGGACCATGTCCGCCGGAAGATACTGCCCATTGACGACCTTCACGATGTCTCCCACGGTCACCTAGAAAACCAGGGGGGAGGACAGAGAAACAAAAGAAATTACAGTGGTGAGAAAGGTGGCGAATCATTCAAAGAAAAAATTACTGTATAACTCTGCCGTGACGTTTAAGATGATGAAGCCCAAATTATTTTCCTTGACCAGAACAAAAGCAAACTCTCAACACAAACAGTAAGTACTATTGCTGCCTTGAAAAGATGTTGAAAGGAAAGAAAGATTCTTTAAAAAGGGAGGAGAAGATGAGTCAGAACTATCAAGGTCTCATTTCCTTACAATTATTCATCCACTTACAAATCCCACGGCTTGACTGGGGAACAATTCCACAGTGCACACAGCCGGGTAGACCGGTTAAGGGCACAGCCCCGAATTCGAGTCCCCCAGCTGCACGTACTCCTTACCAGCCCTGTGTAACCTTGAACTGGTCCTGGAAAGTCTGTGTGCCTCAGTGTGCTCGTCTATGTGATGAAATCAACAGCACTTATTTCGTGGGGTTATGGTGAGGATCAAATAAGTTAACACATGTCAATTTCTCCGCTTACAGATGGAAAAACTGAGGCTCGGAGTGAAATAACTTGATCAAGGTCACACAACCAAGACTCAAAGCCGAGCAATCTGGCCAGCGGTCTGATCAAAAGGCAATACTAAATTCACCTATGAACGGTCCCTCCAAAAGGTCCCCCCAAAAACATGTCACATAAAACAGAGAAGATTTTTAGAGCTCAAGAAATTGCCAGAAAAATAATCATGGCCAAAGCCAGATGCCACCTTGGGAAACAGACTCCACTGGACAGAAGACACCAAGCTAAGGAAACAGGCCCTACTCTGCGGAAAATGAGTACCACGGCCGAGGGTCTGTAAACCCCACAAATTACACCTGGTTGGAGAACGTGGGCTTTCAGTCAGGCGGCCTCGGCTCAAGTCCCAGCTCACACAGACACTAGCTCTGGGATCTTGACAAGCTCTTCACCTCTCTGAACTCCCAGGTCCCCACTTATAAAATAGGGGCACCCACCAGTGGCTTTGTGGGGTTGACGCGGCGAGTGAGGAAGCCGATGCAAGCACCTGGCACGCCGCAGGCACGTGCTGAGTGCTGTCTCCACCCGCACGCGAGTGTGGGACTGGGCTCTGCGGGTGTGCGAGCGAAGGACGCAGAGTTCCGACAGCACACGAAGAAAGGCCATTCCCAGTGCACGAACAATTCAACACCCAAAGCGGGTACCAGGTTTTCTGTTTCTTATTCTAACCCATGTTACTACTGTCTAAGAAATCAAGAATTTCGCATGACATGACACTTGTGAAAAACGACTGGATCTTGCGAGCTGGGACGATGGCCCTGGCAGGGGCTACGTTTAATTTTCTTTAAAACAAAGGAAGGTTCACTGAACGGTGCCCCAGAGTGTGTGAATTGCTCAGCAAAGTGCGGGGAGGTCTCGGGCCTCAGGCTTCCCACGGGGAAGGGCGGCAGAAATTAAATTCCAGAACCACTGTGCATTTGAAGTGAGTACCCACTTCTAAGGCAGAAGGAGGTCATATAATTAAAGTGTCTTCCACAGTAAAAAGAAGTCGAAGAGTCAGTGCTACACAGCTCTTTTAACAGCATCAGGACAAAAGCAAGAAATACCTATGGAAATGAAAAATGTCTTTAAGTGTAAAAATATTTTATGTGAATAGTTTAATTACATAGCAAAACACCAGAAGAAGCCATATAGTTTAAAAACTGGAAAGAAAAATTAGTCATGTTTTCAAAAGAAAAACAGGCAGTGGATCTTTCTAAATTCAAGGTGGGAGGACAAGGGAAATAATGACTTTCTCCCAACCTTCTCGAAATAAAGAAACGGCTACCTCCCAGTGACAAACCACTAAGACGCTGCATGTACCTGAGAAACTGCTTACTTGGAACCTGTTTGAAACGGTTTTCTATTTGGTGATCTTATGCCTGGTTATCCCTTTGGTGTTAAACTACAGAGTGAGAATTCTTAAGGTGGAAAGAGAACTATCCTCCAACCCCCACCCCAGATCCTGAATTCACTCTAGCCTCGGGGGATTTCTCCGGTCTCTTAATTTTGAAGAATAGGCCCAAAAGTCTTCCCAGAGTCGACCGAAGTTGTCGAGATCCACCGTCTCAGCATTCACCAGCGATTCAGCTACAGGGACTGCCGGCTTGAGCTCTGGTAGTTCCAATTAGTGGTCATTGCTTTGGGAATCTTCAAGCTAGCCCATTCCGCCACGCCTGCCACGCCTGCCACGCCTGCCACGCCTGCCACCTGTTACCACTGCCCTCTCCTCACCTGTCCTCTCCACATTCTCACCCTGTTCTGAGCACTTCTGCAGATGTTCCTGGATTTCCCAGGCACCTCAGAGTTTCACCCAGTGGCCTCTGTCTTAAACTGGTTACCTCCTGCTCGTTGTTCAGGAGGGCACGTGAGCATCTCTCAAGGGAAGCCTTTCCTGACCCTCGCGGTGTCCCCAGAGCACCTGCAGCGTGCCGCACACACAGCTCGCACCCGCGCTGTGCTGTTTAGCTGCCTATCACTTCCTCCCGGCCAGTGGTTCTGCAGCGCGGCCTCCAGACCAGCAGCATCAGCCTCACCTGGGAACTGGTTAAAAATGCAATTTCTGGGGCCCCCACCTGGAACTACCAAGTCAGAATTTCTGAGAGTGGGGTCCAGCACTCAGTTGTGCCTGCCTCCAGGTGACTGGGATGCCCCCTGGGGTCCGGCCACCACTGGAGAAAACTCTTAAGAGCAGAGCCCAGAGCTGTGATGCTTGTCTGCATCCCCACGCATAGCGCAGTCTCTGGGACATGCCGCAGGTCCACTTAAATAACCAAACAAAGTGCATTTTAATTGAAATAAAATAGCCTGTGGCAATTCATACAACGAGTGTTTGGTTTCCGTTTATTTTTCCTCCAAGGTGTGCAGGAAACAGTAATGAGCTTTCAGAGTCTGCGAGGCCCTCAGCTCCTGGGCCCAGGACTCAGAGAACATCACTCCGTTTTCTGCTGGTCCAAGTAGTGTCAACATCCCGAAGCCACATCGTCCCCCACTCCGGCCAGTACCCGCGCCCTTCTGGGGGCGCCGGCAACAGCAACAGTGGGAACCCTTGCATTCCACAGCACTGGTGGCATTTGTACCCTCTGTGACATCAAGAGTTTCCAAACACTTGACCAAGAACCACCACACTTCCAGATGAGAGTGAGGCCAAGTAATATTTGCAGTACAGGGCTCCTGGATTGCCACCAAGGTTAAGGTGTTACCACAAAACCCTAAAAACGGGCTCCCATAACAGAAAATACAGACGAAAATGAAGGCGGCAGTACCATATCACGGGCATTTTGTGGATGATTATAGCGGCATTTTTAAACACTGCTTACTAAACGTTTAGCGAAAGAAACGATGTAAGTCATCCTTCTAAAAGGTAGTCTGCTAAAATCATATTGATCAGCTGAATTCCGGAGTAATGCGAGTCATCTCCCAAAACATCTGTGACTCCTGAGAAGGTCCAGCTAAAACAGAGACTCGCTTAAAAAGCTAATCTTATCGGATAAAAGAAACCCAGATGGCACAGCATATTTCTTCTAACGTTTCTGTTCAGCGATATAAACAACAAAACGCCCCACGCAGTCCCCAAACCCTGCAGACCGCACACCTGCAGGGCCGTGGAGGGAGCCTTCTGGCTGCTGTCGAGTTAAGAGCAGCAAATCCTGGTTGTAGCCAACCACCCTGCCTCGGAATCGAAACGGGATGGTTCCCAAGCCTACTCCACCACTACGGAATCTCAACAGTGACAAAATCTTGAAAACATTGAACGGAGGTTAAGAGAACAGAAGATCAGGGAAAGTGTTTCTTGAACTGGATCTAGAAACTCAAAAATGCTTTGAGATTTCAGAAGCAGCCGTCAGGGCGATGGGTGTCACAACTCTGAGCGGACGCGGTGAGCACCCCCAGACGACGCCGGGAACAGAGTAGTAGTGTCAGTTCTAAGTAAACCTCGTCGGGAAACTCCACAACATGGAACTTTCGTTAAGAGGAGATGCCCTATGTCTTCACATTAGCTTCATATATAATCAATACTAGCAGTCAATCACAAGGCTTCAAACCAATACTTTCGGGCATATCTTTAAAAGTAGTGTTTACCTCTTTCCACATAATGGTATGCCACATACCATTTCTTAACACTGAAAAAGAAAAAAACACAAAGGTATCAGTTAATATTGACAGTAATCAAAATCAGCTTTCCAAAATCCAAAAGGCTCCTTTTAAAATTCCACTTATGAATTACAATACCCCATATCCTTAGACACACAGGCATTAACACCACCATCCCCCAAAAGGGAGCCCCAACCTATCTCTGTACCATCTAACATTAATTAATGCCTGTGCATAAATACAGATATATATATGTAAGTTAAATCTATTCATCTTTAGCCCAGAAGGAAAAAATCACCCTGCTGCTACAAAATTTGCCCCAAAACAGACAACTCCACAATACCAGAGCTAATGTCCTAGAAGTCAATACAATAAAGAATAGAGAGAGGTAGGGAGCAATTATAAACCAAGGATATGAATGCTTAGACTTCTTTTTTTATATAAAACATGTATAGCTCCTGAAAATTACAACCTTTTCTAAAATTCTAACATACACAAGTCCTATTCAAAGCTTAATTGCAAAAACTCACATTTTATTGCATTTGTTTATCATTTTCTATTTCTTTAAAGTATTTACAGATCATTTCCCCAGATTTATCTCAGTACTATTAACTACTTATTTAAAATGCCTTAAATATAGGCCTTACTCTCAGGTTTTCTAGTGGGACAAGTGATCAGCCTGGTATCTTACCTATGGTTTTCTTTTTGTTAACTGCATTGTCTGCCTTATGTCGCTTCTGTTAATGAAAGAAAAAAGTTATTAGATTCAAAAATTCCAAATGAATAACGGAAACAGCAAACAATAGGATCATTGGGGCGGGGGTGGGGGACAGGGGAACCACCTGCCCACGGCACTAATGCTCTACAGTTCAGTCCAAGGTTTGCGACCAGCACTGCCCCCTAATGGAGTAGAGACCAGTGCAGTGAATGTGTCTGTGTAGTCCACTCGGGTTTAAATGACCGTATCTAGGTTCTAACAATGAACAAGCACCTTGAAGTATGAAACTTCTCACTCTCCTTTGTTTTACACCAGACTGAAGGAATTTATTCAGTATTATAAACACAACAACAACTGAATTCATCTTACTGATAAAAAAACAAAAACAAAAAAACACTTCTGGGTCAAAGTACCTTTGCTTTGATTTGTATTACATTTATTCATTTACCTATTCCCAGAAAAAAAGTGCATGCGATCATGCTAGACACTGAGTATGGGGGGTGGGGAGCACAAAGATAAGAGGGTGGAGAGAGTACGAACACGGCTGCAGCCAATGAACTTGGAGATACACTGAGGTTAGCAGGAGCGGGGAGAAGACTCTTGCAGAATTACCTCAAGCACAGCTAGCACAACGCTATGCTAGACAGCAACACAGTCCTTCGTGTGCCACCAAATTGGCAAGCTCTACAGGAAGGGGTAGGAACATCAGGGGAAAAAACCAAAGGCGGTCCAGGGAACTAACATTACAAAACATAGTTTGGACTCCTTCTGGGTTGTTGTAGAGACATTAAGGACACTGTATGTATGCGTTCCCTCCCGCCAAATGCCATCATGAACCTTGAGGGGCCAGTTAAGCTGTAGACCAATGTCCTGCCATAAACAGAAAACCCGAAGCAACACGTGAGTTATGTTATATTCAATACAAGGTTTTTATTATCTGAAAGCAAAAACTTACGAAATCTTCCACAATTTCTTTGATGCCTGCAATGGTTAAAATAATGATCAATGGCACCAGGGTGGTGTATCTTCCTGTTGGAGATACATCTGGGATTTGCTGCAAGACAAGAGACCCGAGAGGGAAGTTAACAAGTTAAAATCCTCCACCAAAAGGGAAAAAACGACACTCACCACTCACTCTTCTGCGCTTCTTTCCCACTTCTGCTACACCAAAATTATTACCTTATTTTAAAAACTAGCCAAGTGTGTTACATATTTTAAAATTTGTATCCAACACTGCTATATGTAGAGCAGAAAAAGAGCTGAAAGTAAGACCCCCGGGCTGTTTTCCCATGTCTCAGGAAATGCAATGGAAGGCATGCTTAAAGTCTGGCTCAGCGGTTAGAGCGACAGCCTGCGGTCCAGAGAGACCCGGGTTCGGTTCCCGCTAAGGGCACGTACTTCGGTTGCAGTTTGTCCCCGGCCCTGGTCGGTCGTGCGGGTGGCAGCCACTCAATGTGTCCCTTTTACATTGATGTCTCTCTCTCTCTCTCTCCCTCCCACTCTATCTGAACAAAAAATGGAAAAATGTCCTTGGGCGAGGATAAAAAAAAAAAAAAGAAGTCTGCCTCGAAGCAAGATCATGTTTGTTCATTTAAACAATCACTGGATGAAGAAAGCAAATTACATTTAAGTATTATGGCCCGTTTTTCAGGTAAGTGACCTTTCAGCAACATCTCATTTTGCATGTTTCAAGGTTATGAACTATAAATAAATTTTAAAGAAACATTACCTGTAATAAGGCAATGAAGAGGAAGAAGGCATTAGCAGCTCTTCTAATCTGCTCATATAAGAATCGAGGTAGAAATGTCAACACGCTGTACTTGGCCGTACTGCAAGAACAGAGAAAAATACTGCTATCAGTTATAGATGTAAATTCTAACCAACGAGAAAACACAAAGTTTCAAAAATTTTAGAAGGGGTTTTAATAATAAAATATTTCAAAATTCAGGACAAGTCAACGTGCTGGCTTGTGTGCAAATCTCCGTTTGTAGAAGGACATATCTGTTAGAAAAATTTAACGTGATCTTCGTTTTCCAATGTTAATCTACGTGTTCGTTCAGTTTTTCACATAGCGCAAGTGGGGAAATGTACCCACCTCCTGGGAGCTGCGTGCTACAGACACAGAGGTAGACTGTTTTGGGGATCACAAAACAGGAGGAGGTCCACGTTCCGAGCATCAGCCCGCAGCTCCCACGAGCCAGGCAGAACCGTGACTCCAGGACTTCTGAAGTTCTACAGTTCTTACTACGAAGCCGCTGATTCCATGTAGAAAGTCAACTCCATAAACACGCCCTGAGCACAGTTCAGTGCCCCTCTGAACGCCCACCACAGACGTCTGCCCAACCACACCTGAACAAACCCATTCCTTCCACATGCCCTTATTTGGCCACCTTTGCTTACATTCTGCTTCCATCTCGGACATCTTCCCCGGAGCTAAGCTATGGTTCCCATCTCACCCTCCCATGAAACCTTGTACCCTCCATTAAGGTTGGTCAAATCCATCAAGACTCTTCCCCCAAGCCCACAGTATGATGTTTACACGATCATACAGTATCTGCTTTGCTTTATTTTATATGTATTTATCTATCCCCAAAATAGACTCTGAGAACAGTAAAAATGTCTACTTCACCTCTGAATGTTTCTAGCACACAATGCATAATAGATCATCAATGAACAGTGAAATAATCCAAAGGCATGAACTAAGGAACTGGGGGAGGGGAATGAACCTCACCTCCTTTGGCTGCACAAAGGTATATCCATAGAAGTACCTGCTCAACTTCTAGCTCACCTTCTGAAGGCACCCCCTCTGAACCCACTCTTAATTGACATGTATTCTAACTAGGTTACCTGGCAGGTTTCAAATATACAACCCATTAGAAGCACCAGAGCAGGAGAGCTCAGGAGACAGGTGCTGGAGGCACGTGTATACGGCTGTAAGACCAGACAGCAACCAATCCTGGAGTCACGAAACAAACACATCAACACTGACAACTCAAAACATAGCAGGCTGAGGTCACCTGACAGAGCCGGATAGTGTCCCATGTACCATTTACTGCCACTGCCTCAGAGAAGACCTTCCCCATGGGACAACGGCCTGGTGTTGCTGAATACACAATGATTAGAGTCGTCCTCACAGACAGACTTATTTTTAGCCTTCTTCTGCTAAAGGTATTAAATATCTATGACAAATTATATGAAAACCACTTATATAAAACAATTCAAACTTAAAGACTATGATACTTGAAGGAATGTCAATGAATTAACTAGAAAATGTCTTACACGGAGTCCCTACTCACTGATGTAGCCCTATGGAGTAATGAGATGTCATGGTAAATTCTGCCAGACAGAATAAACTAGCTGACCTTAAGTTCATTAACGAGTAGGAAAACTGTACCTAACTCATGATGGCTCATGGCACGAAGTTTTCTTGGCTGCAGCTTAGAGGACAAAGTAAAATGGCACATTCCTTTATGAAAGCACTGGCCACTGAATAAAGCAACTAACGCTGATCAGTAAAGGAAGCACGAAAATTCACATACTCTAAGATAAAACTTAAGAACGCATCTTATAAGATAGTTTGACTATAACATTTGAACCCAAGATTTCAACTGTATAAAACAGACACACACAAACACAGTTGGTGTGTGAGCCCAACTGTGTGTGAACATTTCCCACTAGAGTAAAATACTAAGTGTGTCTGGAGACCATGAAGGTAAAGGTTTGGGGGACAAGGAGATCCTGCTCATGTCAGAAAACCAAAGACAAGGGGAGGGAAAAGCATTCCAACTTTTACTCTAATTAAACTATAAAAATGAGTCTAAAATGTTTCAGCACAATCAGGAATTCAGGGTAAATGACATTCATCCAAGAGACGGCTACTGTACAGCATGAAAATAATTGCCTTAATGTACAACCTTTAGGTGTCCCGTTACAGAATTAAACACATAGAACTACAAACAGCTAAACGTAGCCCCCATCAAAACCATTCTCCCAGAAGAGTTTATTTAGGACAGTGTTTCTCAAAGCTAAAGATATATATGAATCTTCTAGGTAGCTTGTTAAAATGCACTGTGTTAGTCAGGATTCTCCAGGGAAACAGAACCAACGGGAGTGTATACACAGAGAAATGTATTCTAAGGAACTAGCACGTGGTGGGGACCTGGTAAGTCCAAAATGTGCAGTGTGGGCCAGCAGGCTGTGGACCCGAGGGAAGATCTGATGTCATTTGAGTCTGAAGGCCATCAGTGGGCAGAATTCTTTTTTGCCCAGGAAGGTCAAACTTTGTTTTATTCAGGCCTTCAACTGATTGGATGAGGCCCACCCACATTATGGAGGGTAATCTGCTTTATTCAAAGTCTACCAATTTCAATGTTAATCTCATCAAAATAAATAAAGAAAAATAATTTTAAAAACACCTTCACAGAACATTTAGAATAATGTTTGACCAAATATCTGGACACTGTGGCCCAGCCAAGTTGACACAAAATTAAGCATTTCATGCATATTCTGACTCAGTTGGTCTGGAGTCGGCCTGAGATTCTGCATTTCTAACGAGTGGTCCAATGTGGGCCAATGGTGGTCCAAGTATACACTTTGGGTGGCAACTACCCTTGAGGAGGGAGATGTATTCAAATCTCCTATCTGAAGTCAATCCAGCTAAAAACTCTAAGATATAAAAAGCTGGGAGACATGTACCATTCACTTTCTCATGTCCCAGGAGAAAGAACATCTACAGGTGAAATGAATGAATGAAGAAGGTCACGCAGGTCAATCTGTCACCCATCCCCTAAACGATTCACACTGCATATGTCAGCATCCCTGTCAGGGTTCACAGCAAGGACAGGCAGGGACTACAAGCAAGTCTGGGCATTTGGCAAGTCTCAGAACCCAGAGAATGGAGAGAAAAGACCAGAAGAAAAAAACATTTCCTGTGGTCCCCCTAAGTTTCCCCTAAACATCTGTTAGACCAGTGTTTCCGGAAATTGGGTGACATGAAGAATGACCAAGGGCTTGTCAAAAAATCCACCCACCGCCCTGGCCGGTTTGGCTCAGCGGTTAGAGCGTCGGCCTGCGGTCCTGAGAGACCCGGGTTCGGTTCCCGCTAAGGGCGCGTACCTCGGTTGCAGTTTGTCCCCGGCCCTGGTTGGTCGTGCGGGTGGCAGCCACTCGATGTGTCCCTTCGCATCGATGTTTCTCTCTCTCTCCCTTCCTCTCTCTCCCTCCCACTCTATCTGTACAATAAATGGAAAAATATCCTCAGGTGAGGATAAAAAAATAAAAATAAAAAAAAAATTTAAAAAAAAAAATAAATAAATAAAAAAAAAAAAAAATCCACCCACCCACCCATCTACCCATCCACCCACCCATTCATCCACAGGTGTTTACTGAGCCCCATCTACACACAGGCACTGTGCTAGGCGCTGCAGAGGACCAACTGGTCACCAATGCATACTCTGCAGCGAATTACATTCTACAGGACAGATTCAATTTTTAAAAATACGCAGCAGGCTAGATGGTGGTGAATACTGTGGAGGAAAACAGATCAGGGAAGAAGAACAAAGAGGGGTATACTGGAGGCCAGGGGAGATGTGCTATTTCACTGGACTGTCAGGGACGGTTGCACTGAGAAGCAGCAGGAACGTGCGCTGTGGATACACGTGGGAGGAGCTTTGCGGACAGAGGGCTCACACGTGCCCTGAGCGCTGCGGGGGACGGCTCCTTTGTTTCCCTGTCGAGGAGCAGTGAGGGGCCGGTGTGGAGAACTGCGTGCAGAAGTATGAAAACAGACCACAGAGGCCAACTTGAGCTTTGGAGCTCACGTTTACACACCAGCCTTCTCCTGGTAGGCAGGAAGCCTCCGGAGGGTTCCAAGAAGACAAGATCTGGCAATAATAGCAATGTGCAAGCCTGTCTTCTGGGGAAAATGACTCAGGAGGGGTGGAAACTGGTTCTGCGTATGACGGACACCTTTTTCTTGGTAAGTGCTAGGATCTGGCAAGTGTGGGAAACAATGCGTTAGAAACCAGGGCTGACGAAATGTGGGCCTGGGCCTGCATGCCTGCCACAGTCACAGAGCACTGTGGGAGCCCGGCCTCCACCACAGGGAGAGCAGGAACCCAGGCATGGTGTTCGAGTACGTTCTCCAGCTGTGAGGAACTGGATGTTGACAGCTGTTCTCCAAAGGCAGATCTAAAACGTAGTAGCTGCTCAAAGTGTAACTTCCCCTTAAAACAAGCCACCAGAAACAAACTAGCTTAATATTCATCGTCAACATGTGAGCAGTGAAATCTACACTGAGGCATACAGCCAGCCAAGAGCAGTCGTTACTGTTTTATTCTCCTGCGTTACCTGGAGAGTATGTGTCCTGTCTGTGCCCAGTGGACAGTAAGTGTTTAGTACTCACGGGAGCGGGGGGCCCTTTACACCTCTCCACAAGAGCCAAACCAGTGCTCCGTGATCACGTCCTGGAACTTTCCATTCTACCCAGGTCCCAGCAAGACGCCATCCACCTTTCTCCTCTCAAAATACTCACTCGGCAAGGGGTTCTGGGTTATTAGAGGTAGAAGACAAGAAGGCAGCACAGTGCCCTAAGAAGGCTGCTCATGTCTTCACAGCTTGATTCACTTATCATGAAGAGTGCATCAGACCCAGAGACATAGAAGGAGTACGGTTCAGACTGACAGACCTCAGAGGAGGGGTGTGGGGGGGATGGATGAGATGAACCAAGGAACTTATATGCATGTATGCATAACCAATGGACACAGACAACAATGCTGGGGGATGGGGGAAGGTGGAGAGGAGGGTGTCTAAGGAGGAAAAAGAAGAAACA